GGTCCCAGTCACCTGAAGAGGACAGCAGGGAAAATAGAAGAAAGTGCAGATGTGTTGTTGAAGCCCTATGTTCCATTAGGAACCCAAGGGAATAATAATACATGTAAAATAATCAGGTTGTCAGTGGAACTAACAGAATAACGTTATATGCCAACAGTGATTGATTAATTTCATCAACAATACCAATGAAATTTCAGCAAGTTAATTTATCTTTCCCTCATACCTCGGAAATGAATATCTTACATCCTCTACCGAAAGACATTTCCTAAAGAGACTGATCATACAGTTATTTCAATGCAGTTCTTATCAACCAATTTACAAAACCTGTTGCTATTAGATACACAAATAACAATAAGTCATGGTATTGAATTTTCCATAGGTATCCAAAATGACTGCATCATATTACAAATATGATTTGAAGTATAACTTCTTTACTTAACATCTCTCTTTAATAATTTTGATCGTTTTATCGTTTCATTCATTTTTTTTCCCTTTTGCGTGTTCAAATTGCATAACATGTGTCTGTTTAGATTCTACAAATTCATAACATATAAGTGAGCACAAACCAATTATATTAATTTATTCTCGTGTTGGAATTTATAAAAAGATATAACATTTTCAAGGGGGGAAATTATTATCTGTACACGTGATATTATTTAGTTGTCAGATAGTTTATAGTTAACTGGTGAACTATGATTTGACAGACAGACCAAACATAAACTCTACATTTAGAAAATGTTACATCATGATAATTTATTTATTCATGTGTAAAAAATACATAGAGCCCAACATTATTTAAATTGCTCTTACATGTGACTTAAGGGACAGTCAGGTGATTATTTGGCAGATGCAAAAATATCAAACAAAGAAGAGAAACCACTGAAAGTGTTGTAAGTAGAATAGAAGAAAGAAGGAAAGTAATTGTAAAGGTGAAGTGAGAGATTATATATATACATATATATCTTGCTCCTTTAGTACAGATTTGAATGGATGACAAGTTAACACTTCAGTTGTGTTTAATTTGAGGAATTTGACTTTTCCTATTCTGGCTTTGTAGATAATTTTAACTGACTGTCAGTGAGTTTAACCTGTATCACACCCGAATGGACCAAAATTTGTAGTATCAGTCTATTAATTAGTTAATGGTGTATTGGAAGTTTTCAGAATATGTGTACATTGGTTATGTGTGCTTAACAAAAGAAAGTAAACTTGAAAATATATTCGGACACGACTTGTCCTCGACACATCAATTTTCTTCCTTTTTCACCCTGTTTTTGGATAGATGCTCAGAAGTTAAATATTGTTTATTACTAATATATGAGTAAAACTTAGCTACTATGACAGAGGGTAACTCTATGTTAGTTTGTTTTATTTAGCGTTGTTGTACTTTGGGCATAATTTTTCCCTGATAAATACCTGTACCGAGCGTTGAATTATATCTCAGTTGCACGTATATTCGGTGTTGATTGGCTCAGTGAAAAATCGGTAATTTCTCTCTCCACGTAACTTTATTAGAATTTAGAACCTTTACACTATGCCTTTTTGTAGTATGGTTCTGTGCTGGTGTATCTGCTGTGATAGCTGGGCATTTTTCCTAGACTGCTTATTTTACTGAAAATTTATCAGCTTGTATTTTGTTAAATTCTTGTGTTTAGATTACTTTAAGCTATGTACTTGACGACTACATACTTATTACATGGTATTTGTTAGATTTAAATATTTGGGAAATTTTACTATCAATAAAAATGAAGGAATAAGACTATAGAACTACAGAAACTGATCTCAGGTGGTTTGAGGATATCGGCAGTAGGTTTTTTCTAATTCCTTTACGTTCCCAGTGGAACATAGGGCTTCAAGCTAGAGCTTTAAAGTTTTGGAAGCAGTGATGTTTATTTTAAGAGGATGGGGTTGCTAGTCTCATGCTCAACCTTCCTTCTTTATCGGTCTTAATATCGGCTTAACTAGGTAGTAAGTTGTGGACCTACATTTCGTACTTACACATGCTTGTCAAGTAGTTGTATCTGTAACTCTAAAAAAACTGATATTCATGCCGTCATTCGAAGTCGTCTTACCCCTAGCTGCATTGAGACACGTTATCGCTGAGCTGTTCTGGTGACGAATGACCACCTATAGGACTATAATAATCACACTGCGACTGATCACTCTGGATTAAACTGGTTTTGAGAGTTGTGTGGTAGTATGGATATGATTAATGTTTGCCTAAAACGTCATCCAGTAAATAGAACTGTGTTACTATGTGCCAGATATACCAAGTAAACAAGCTAACGTGGAATTAACACGATTCTAGTTGATCTTTAAATAACAGAAAAGAACACTTTGAATTGAATTTAGACTCAATTTTTGTTTTGTCCGATTGTTGCATGTTTAGAATACATTGTAGATATGTTATTGAATAAGACAGAAAGAAAAACAAGTGGCGAAATGCTTATTTCTTGTGTTTATTACAAGGCTATGCTCTCATAGCTGTGTATTTTTGTAATTGTGTATTAGAAATGACGAAATGTCCTTTAATTGTGTCCATTAGGCAATAAAAAGCTGATTCAATCGAGTAGAACAAGAGTATACAAGTAATACCAATAATTATTTAGTATAATAAAAAGTTATTCTAATAATAATAATGATCTACTTCAATCCAAAATAGTACTTGTGATACAGAATGGAATTTTCAGCATTAATCACAATATTGCATCTAATATCCTCAAATTATAAATAAAATTAATCACACAGAAAATCTTCCATATTTACAATACGCGTAATGTCAGAAACATGCAGCATATAAAATGGAAATAATAATAATGATAACAACTAGGGTAATAATAATATAAGTGAAAAATTGCCGTGGGCTTTTTACACACAGTATTGTCAATGCGGAATAGAAATCCTAACATGTTTAAAAATATTGAATATAATGTTCTCTTTACATGATATGGTGAAGGGAAAAACAAAGATTACAGCAGTCAAAGAGATAAGTTGGTGTTTGCAATTATGAGAGTAAAACAAAGAAGCAACAGAACCATAAATACAATTGAAATAAGAAAAGTAAAACTTGAATGTATATAAGAATGGATGGAGGAAATCGTTTATTTACTAGATGAGGGAGAAAGGTTAGTTAATTCTCGCCTGACACTATTTTCATCACATAAAATACGTGCCAAGTATGGTATCATAGAATTTCTATACTTAGACGTGCGAGCATACAGTTTTCTGAAGTTACTTCTTATTCTAGCTGAGGAGATGCAAGGTGAAAGCTGAGGGTAAAGTGGATGCTCCAGGTCAGACAAAATCCCTCTAGCAAATTTATTGCACGAAGACAAGTGCCTATCGACAACGACGTTAACTATGTGGTCCACTGGGACACCACTCACCCTACTGATAGTCTTCAGCATTCTACGAATTGTGGCATAGTCCTTTTAAAGCAAACCAGGAAAGAATAAGGGTGAACAATAAAGAAGAATAGGTAGGATGGAAGAGTTTATGGACTGTAAGAGGAGGAGTGGTTGAGTTATATCCGAGTGCCTTAACTTCTTAATGTAAAATGTCAGGCGGAATACTTTACTGGAGATCGCTAAGACATGGGAAGACCAGGAGAGATCAGAAGAGAGAATGAGTCCAAGATACTTAATTTCTGATTTGATTCCTATATCATTGTCGTCAATCTTACAACTGTTATGAGAATCGATGACTTCTTTTAACCGTCTTTTACATCTTAAGCTGAAATTAACAGTTTGACATTTAGAAGGATTCAGTTTAGGACCGTTAGACTCAGACCATTTACTGACTCCCGACAGAAAGCTATTGATTTTGGTACAGTCTAGCTGGGAGTTAACAGCCACTGAAACTGTTAAGTCATCAGCGTACTTCACAAAGTTTATTTCATCAGAGTGAGGCAAGTCATGCAAGAAGAAAGAAAAAAGCATCATCGAAATAAAACCTACTTATATGAGTAGTTTATGAAAAAGAGTACTAAATTGTTTGTCTTCACCATATCAATGATATGAATCAATCACATTTTTAATCCAATGCAAAGCTGTAAACTGGTAGTACCTTTGTAATCACACTCTAATATTGATCGTGTTTTATCCTTTATCTTTTACCCAATTAAGGACATCCAGTCAAATTGTTGTAATTTTAGTGTGCTTCACTCGGATTTAAATAGCTTGAGTTAAATTGCTAACAGAAGCTTAAGTGATTTCCTCATTTATACCTGAAGCTTCTAATGAAAATGCCTAACAGTATGAAATATGTACCTGAGACACCTACGAAGAGTCAGCTGCATACATAAAATGTAAATGTGAAAGACTTCAGGTCGCAGATGAAATTTTGTTGATAATTTTCTCGTTGAACACATTGAATTCTGTTTTTTTTGTGTGTTCAGCTATCATTAAAAAAAGTAAATGATTACGACTGGTTTCGTCTTCTTATCTCTCAGCTGATTCAAGGATTCTACTCAGCTTATCATAAGTGATAGCTACTATCTCGACGTAATGGTCAGGTTTGCATATCTGAATGATCCAACAAGCTAAACTGACTGGAACAAATGTATCTGTAGGTCTTATCATGCCAGAAAGTCCTTTTGGATAGCATTCACTTCAATAATGTAAATCATATACAAAGTGTCGGTAGTCTGGGTGAAGACGTACCGCTGGCGATTTTATAGCAGTAAAGTGTTTCCCTCAGGTGACTAACAAGCCAGCTAAGCTATCTCTCCGTTCTCGGTATGGCGATTAGAAAAGATGGACTCCTGAGTTGCCTTGTGGTGGTTCCAGCCGGTGGTCAGATTTTTGCGTAGATATATCTCAAAAAACCACTTCAAACAGGCCGTATGTGACCGGCCTCCGTTGGAATCTGTGGTTACGCAACACTAATGCTGCTTCTGTTTCTGGCACCCCAGAAGGAAATAATGTAATACATGCACTTAGCTTATAATTATACTACTAACAGATATAAATCAATGTTTTGCTATTGTTTCTTTTTTTCAGCCACATGCAGTTTACGCCAAAGACGTTCTAGACATTGAACAATTCTCCACAATTAAAGGTGTTACATTGGATAGCAAAGATATGGAATTTTATAAACGTTTCTGTTCTGGAGCTGTTAGTATACCGTGGCAGAACGAAGTAAGTCTCCTTCTGTCTCCCCTCTTTCTCTTTGTGATATATATATTATAAAGGCATAAAATTAAGAAATTGCGATTCAAGGTTTTTTGTATGTGTATCTCTTGCTGTTGGTGTTACTGTGTAAGGTGAGAATTTTCACCTTACCACTTCCTTATGTATATGTATAGAAAGTTCACTAAGTAAGCCTGTAGTTTTCTATGTTAGTTAGACTTATTTTAATTTTTATTATTGCTTTGATTGTCCAGAGTGTTTTGCAATTTTATCACGTCCACCAGAGCAAATTTATTTCCAAGTGACAATGAAAAAGAGAGAATAAAATGTATGGATGCTCTCTTAGTCCCTGTGTGTGTGTTTGATGCATTTCTAGATTCAGTTTATTGATCTATAAACTACATTTTATAAATAGGGGTAACTCACTAGACAATCGTGTATACATGGGTATCACTATTATTATTATTATTATTCAGATTTTACAAAATATTAATAAAGTATTTATTTTTAAACTTTACACCCAGTTTTCAAATTTCTACTCTGTTTTTCACTATCATAGAGAATAGAAATGCAGCAGTAGACTTATTCGTGAAAAATCACTGACTGTCTACTGCCTTTCTTATCATCCTTGACTAAATGTTTTCTCTTTTTGTGTTTTTTTTTCTGTCTCATAAGTAGTATACGAGTTAATCTGGAAAATTTTTTTTTAGGGAGGAGTCGATAAATTCATTTTTAATGTAAAAGAATTATTCCTTCATATTTCTCAGGTTAAGCTTTAAAGACAGTCACTATGATGTACTGTGAATTATAGAATATCATCGATATTTAAGGAATATAATTTCTTCCACCACTTTCGTGTACAGCTAACTAGATTTCAAATGTTGGCACGTTTGTATACGAAGTCGGCTATTTATCTGGTTGATTAAAATAACTCTTGATTGACTTAGTTTCTAGCATGAAGCTAAACATATCAGTCGTTTGACTTGGCTGTGTACGAGAGGATTTCAAAACACCATCTAAAGTAATTACCATGTGGTAGCAACGGCTTTTTAGAGAGTTAGAAAAAATTTTGTTGATACTCCACTAATCTGTCTACTCAGAGCTATTTATAGGCCAAAAAATACATGGTGCTATATACTACTGGTCGATTGACACGATTAACTGGATACCACTCACATTGACCAGTAGTATTTGTTAGCCTAGCTGATGTGATCTAATAAACATTGGACAGCTGTTTGTCACGTTTAGGGAAGAGGTGATAGGAACTAGTAGTTTTATAGTACGTGACACATTTATGTTTGCTTTCTGAATACTTTCAGTTTCCATAGGAAACTTTGGAGAAATTTCACCTTTACCTGTGTAAATTGGAAATCACGAAGTTATTTGCAGAAATTGTGGATTTGATCTAAAGTGGTAAACAATCTGCTAATATCAGTGATTATCAGCCTGCGACATAGAGAAATAGGAGCAGGGTATACAAATACACTTGTTCAACTGTGCCCCACCTTAATTGTTTTATCTCACTCTGTGTATATCTTACATGATATCAGTAGTTTCTTATGTTCGTGCACATTTTTATAGTAATTTATTTGTTAAATCACTCATCTGATCACGTACTGCTTTATGCATAATTTTATACACACCTGTTAAATTTTCAGTTATATGTTGAATAACACTCACTATGTTTAGCAACTTTGTTTTTATTTCGCTAGATATTTAAACAAAAAATTCATAAATTAATTGAACTACAATTATATGTAACTGTAATTACTTTAAATCAAATCGGCCGGACATGCTCTTAAATAAATCTGTCATGATGACATTCAAAAATTTTATTTTATCCTGTTCTCATGGACTCGAATTATAAATGTCACTCGGACTAAGATAAAAGAAAGCCTACTTGTCTATGACTGAACCTTAAATAATACAAAAGACTTGATTGTGTTTCTTTGGGATCCTTTTTTCTTAAAACAAACATATTCGTTTGAAAGCAAAGGGGATGGTTGAATGCGACTTCTTTTTCACCAATATTGTTAGCGTCGTATTTCTACCTATAGTGAAGGAACATCAATTGGTACATGATGGAATTCTTGTATGACTTCTGTAATTTACCTGATGTGAAGATGTAAATCATTGTTTCAGTAGCCCAGTTTGCAGCCAACAGGTCACGGATTCAAGTCCCGCCTCACCTACTTCAGCCTAGGGAATTGAGTAATATTATCAGCCCCCACACAACAAATGTGGCTTTTAGCCTGATATATCAAAGCTCTGTTCAGGGTAATTGAGTTCACAAAAGTAAAACGAATACCCTAGTTATTATTATATTTAAGGTGAAAACCACTATCTTTGCTTGAAAATTATTTACAATAGATACTGAGTGTCATCTCTCTCTGCAATTGTTTACTTTTGATTTGGACCCTGTGACATGCAGTAACTGGTGTTTAATTAATTCAGTTTAATTACTCATCTTAAATGTATTTTTATGTACTTGATGTGTATAAGTGTATGATATCATCCACTCCCCTGGATCAAGGTAAAGAGAGCGAAGATCGAACTCACATCCTTCTGATTAAAAGTTAATTCTCTGATCCATTTACCCACACTGACAGTCTTAGGTTAGTCTAAATTTAACAATTAAGCTTTGATATAAAATTATTTTACGCTGTGTTTAATTACCTATCTGTCGATTTCAATAATAATTTTTAATGGTTTCACTTTCTTCTTTATAGATGCTAGAAACAGGCTGTTTTGATGACTTGAATGAATTTCGCAAAGAAGATGGAACTTTAGTAGATAATTTAAATCCTGATACTCCACCAATTCAACAGAATCCCCCCTCAAGTAATCGAAGTATTTTTGATAGATTGTTTAAACGTAAACGCCAATCCCTTGGTCCACCGTCAAGTCAATCAGAAGTGACTAGTCAAGAAAGCACTATGAAACAAAGCAAAGCTATGTCATCACTTGAAGTGGAAAATGTTACCGTTGATAGCATGCCAAGTGGGAAGACAAATCTGTTGTCAGAATCAACTGGAGACAATTTGTCAGACAAAGAAAATGCAGTAGCACATAAACAAGAAAAGACTTCATCTGATGATAGACAAGACGATGGGAAAAAAATTGATCATATTACCACAGAGAATCAGATATCTAAAACTAACAGTCATTGTAGCATGGATTCAAGCGCCATATCTCATAAAAATATTAAATCAAAGAGTAGACGTTTAACTCTTCCTGTACATTCTTCATTTTTATGCTGTACACATAGAAAATAATATACTTTTTTCTATCCTTCTCTTTCTGCTTTTGCTTCTTCATCTTTTTGTAGAGGAGATTTTTGTTTCGTTTTACCCGAATCAACTTTGTAGTCTTCTTGCTTCTTTTCCTAACACAATGTGTTTTCGTAGACTTTTATAAAATGTCTTCCTTGATATGTGAAATTCTTTGATTAAAGCAATTAAAGGGGAAATAATTTGTCAATACAGACAAAGACTAAATCTTTTCCCAGCATTTTTTCAGAAAAATCTCCAGTAGAAGATTGTTACTTGTGTGATTTAAGGGATACTTTGACTCGAATAATTCGGCGGCAACACTATTGATGTCTTATAGATCAAAGATATATTGTTGTTATCATTATTTTTCTTTCCTGTCATCCTTCTGTTCAACTGTGTAAATGCGTTTTGATGCATTTATGCGTGTATTTGCTTATACTCCTCCGTTATTATGCGTGTATAAGCAAGCAACGCCTATTCTTAACTGTTGTGTGTACTTCTATTGCTTGGATTTTGACAAGTATTTTCATAATATCCTGTTTCATTATCAATGTTTTATCGATTGATTTGTTTGTTTAGTTTGGACACCAGCTTTATTTGAACGAATAAGTATTCCTTTCTGTTTTGTTTTATTTTGTTGTTATTTTAGAAACAAAATGTTTTTATCTTCGAAAATTCATTCACTTCTTTTTATAAATCAATTCGTACAAATAATTATGCGCTTTTACACACTACGATCTCAGATTATTGAATTTTCTTTTTTGCTTTTTTGTACGTTATTGTATGTAATATGCATTGTGCATCGAAGTCAACTGCAATCATCATGTATATCATTCAAGGTGATCTCACTTTTTTTAGAAAACAAAAATTATTATGCATTCAATGTATATTTTTCATTTCATTTGTAAACTGAAATGGTATTGAAAAAAAAGACAACCGTTTTTTAAGCTGCCTGCTATTTAATTTTTTTGTTTTTATCCTTTCATTTTAATTTTAATTATACTCTCCATGATGCTCTACTATTCTAGTAATTTTGATCTCACTTCCTACTTCCTTATTGAATGAATAACGAAAACTGTTCAGTTGTCCTCTCTTCTGTACTATTCTCATTTGCTCTATATATATGAATTTATTGTTTTGATTATTCATATCCCGGTTTGTTTGTTTTGTTTGCTTGCTTTTCTTCTCCTTGTCACCGCACACACTTATACAAATGATTTCATCTGCATAAATTTACTCATGGTTGTCTTCACATTTTACTGCTGTGAAAGTAAATTAGGCAAAAAGTCAGTTGTGTTTTGATTTTCTGCCTATCGATATCGGATTGTAAATAATAAATTTAGAAAAATAATAATAATAAATATCTCGATTTATTTGCTTTTCTGTTCCTACGACTTTCTTTTTTTTTGAATTTGCCTTGGATGCTTTCTTCTCCCTCTTTCTCTTTGCTTCTCTCTTTGGTACGTCTTTGTCTGTGCTGTGTGCATTTGTGAATGGCATTACAGTGCAATTATTGTTATTTGACAATCTGTTTTGCATACATTTTTCTTTTCAGTTTATTTGCTTTATTTTAACATGTTATTCACGTTGTGTATTATTTTGTACAAAAAGTATCTTTAACAAGTGAATTTCTTATTGAGATAAAAATAAATTGATGTATAAATGCATGATTGTCTCATAAATAACTTTTCTGTGTAACAATCTAAAAGATTTTATACGCGATATGTGCGTTGGTGGCAAAGCGTTAGAATGCTCGCCAACCACGCCTCATGTGGTTCGGGGTTCGATTCCTGGCCGACTCACTCCTTCACCTCGTTAAACCGGTAGGTAACAAGACTGGTAAAGTGGGAAGGTTAGACATACGGCTAGCAACCACATTCTGTAAAATAAACACCACTTCTACCGAAACTTCAAAGCTGTATCTTGAAGCCCTATGCTTCACTGGGAATGTTAAAAAATAAAATAATAATATTGTTATTGCTACTCGAATGTGTGATTCGTCTGTCATTTGTCTAGTTTACTGTAGTTGGTGAATACCGCTAACTCGGTTAATACCTGGTAAACTGTATATTCTGAAAAAAGTACTACCATTTGCGGATGAATTACTTCTGCAACAAAGTAAATGTTTTGTATGTATAAAATGTTTTTGGAAGATGTCTTTCGCGTTCCAGACTATGAGTTTGTAAGTTACTATCCAGTTAGTTACTTAAACTGAAGTTTGTCAAGTAGTACTCGAACTCCAGACCTACTGATTAAAAGGTGAATGCTTAAGCCAATAGGCCATCTCCCAACAGTATGTTTTGTTTAGCGGGTGGGAGTATCAGTACAATACTAAATCGTTAGTCACTAATGTACACTATAACTGAGATGTGTTTCTTTTGGGTGCTCATCATTTCTATCTACACGATATTACTACACTCCAAGAAATTGGCCAACAGAAATCACCGGTGGCCTGCTTAAAATGTTGGCTACCAAAAACCTCCATCATTATACTGCACATAATTTCTCTTCTCCTTGTTTTAATCTAATCTCTAATGGTGTTGTTTATTCTCGCGAGTATTTATAATGTTTACATTTTTCTACTATGCACGTTTGTACTGAGCTTGAGGAAAAACATAATCGTCGTTGGCAACATATCCCAATACGTGAGATGACTCCTCTTGAGATTTTTAGTGCAAATTATCCCTTCCTGATAAATAAAACTGACTACTTACAGTCTATAATTATTCAGTTATCTTCTTGGGTCTCAAAATGCACAGTGAACTTTCAACCAAATGTCATGCATTCCTCGAAGGAGACAAGGAAGTAAAAACATAAGATGGGTTGGTTTGTGCTTCACGTCAGAGAGCTTCATGTCACGCGACCTACTGTCAATTCTTATTTAACTTAAAGTTACTGGATGAGGAGAAAGTATTATGCAATAAATCAGGCTGAAAATTCTGTACATTCTGTAAATTATCCAGAAAAAACCTATTGTAATTAGCATTTTGAAATGATTTTTGTCGTATCCTAAAATTTGAGAACCGTATTGTTAACTTCAAGACATTGGGAAAATAACTGAAAAATCAGAAACCTGTTCATTTTCGTCACCAACAATCAAGTGAGTTTGCTACAGTGCACCAGTATATTATTTTCTACTTTAAAACGGTTGAAATTTCTAAAGATTAGATATAACCTGGAAAAAAGCTCAGCCATTGCACTTCATTTGCTTGCATTTAATCATAAAATAGGGTCCTACAGAGTAATAGGATTAAAAAGTAATAAAGTTAGGTGGAGAGAGAGGTTAATTACTGAAGTTTTGTTTGTTGATTCAACAGTGCACACGTGCAATCGGAATAACGTAACGCCCTTACCACTGATGTGGAAAGTGGCAACAAACAATAAAAGAAAGTTGGAGATAGTGATCAACTCGTAAAAACAAAACCAACCCTTACAAACCAAACTATAGAAAATCAATCTGATGCTCGCTAGTGACTTGCTACAGGATGGAGTTCCAGTGAGAAGTCGTGACCAGTGAGGTCCATCCAGATGTCACGTGTGAGGATGGATGTCCCACCTACGACAATGGTTTGGGTCGTGCTAAATCACGAATTGGTAGAAGTTAGAATTTATGAGCCATTGAATCGGGTCCCAGTGGCTGAGTGGTATACGAGCTTGCCTTGTCCTCGGAAGGTCCTGGGTTCGAGCCCTTTTCGGTGGGTGGATACTGCCGATGATTCCAAAACTAGGATAGAGGGGACAGATGTTCAGTACTCCTTGCCGGTTTTCAAAGGTTCTCTAACTGATATCGATTCGTGACCAACTCGTAAAAACAAAACCAACCCTTACAAACCAAACCATAGAAAAGAAAAAAACATATATGAGACAAATTGTGAAACTGTGTGATGATTTAATTACGAGTGGCAATAATTTATGCTCGAAACGTCATCCCGTTGTTAATACTGCATCACTGTATGATATTTAAAATAGGCTTATCTACTATGGAATTACATTCTACCACAGTACCCAAGTTCATTACATTACCAGACCAGTAGTATACTTATTCAATAACATTGAAATTCTTGAGCTGGAAAAATTTTCTTTCTAAAGAAATATTCTTTTCCAGAGACTTTGTTATTAGTTGGAGGATTTCATTATGAGCGCTAGCTATACAAAAGCTCAAACCCACCTTTGTATCCAAAAGAAATACGTCCAACCCCTGTCCCTGCCATGGCCACCATAAACAGGTAATTTTTTGGTAATGACCATCCATCGCCTTTCTTACCTAAACTTCCTGTTTATTCTTGTTATTTTAAGTTTTTCTTAATCCATGTTTACACTACCATATTTTCATACCCGAACTTCGTGTTTATTTTGCCATTTTACTATTTCTACACATTTAATCCCTGATATCATAAACAATTATTCATCACATCAGTTCTTATCCAAACATCCTGTCTATTTTGTTATTGCTACATTTCTAACCCCTAATTGCACAATGTCAATCTTCTTAGCTATCATGATGCTAATTTGTTTGTTTTATCCACCCCCTGTTTATTGTGGCATTCTAATCCCTAATTTTAATTTTCATTAATTTGACCCTTGACCGGATATTATTCTGGAACTTTCCTATCCATTTGATATAAATACACGAATGTACAGCTATCTAGCTGAGGATGACTTCGTCGAAAAGAAAAGTTTCTTCACTGCAATTGTCTTCTTAATAACTCCTATGACCCAATGTGTATATTCCGTGAGCTGACATCAGTTAGAAAACCATTGGAAAACCTGGGAGTACTGGACAGACGAAGAATCCCAAACTAGGACAGAACGGCTGTCCGGTACTCCGAGGTTTTCCAGTAGTTCTCTAACTGACGTCAGCTCATGATGAAATCCTCCAAACAATCAAACAAAATCCCTACAAAACCAGTACTTGGAAACTTTGTTATTAAGCTACACAGTTGTGCTTATATTATATTTTTAGAAAATTAGTCTGTCTCACTGACATTACTCATGTGTTAAAGAATTAGTATTGGTGAATTATATGAAATACAAGAAGGGTTTCTCAAATAAAAAGTTAATGGCAAGCAGCGCGAAGTTGGACATCTGCTGTCAAAATGTTTGAGATAATAATTATAAACAGAGTTGGGTTGAAATTACCATAGAAGAACATTGTTAACGTGGACATTGATATCAAACATCACTTGAATAACGTGCAACTATCTCAAGTAATTCTATATCCTTTTTTATTTGCATACTGTCACAAATACGTGGGTTGATCTGACAAACTTAATAATAAACTTTTTATTCCAAACAATATTCTGATATCTTCTACAAATTTCTAGCATCTGGTCTTCAACAGCTGTTACTCCATCAGTATTTTCTTAAGATAGAGGATACCTCTTGTTGGCTAGTTCTTAAAATTAGTAAAATAAGCGTTTAGAGCTTCTTTTTCAAATGCTCGCAATACTCTAATTTCTAATCACACTACTCTCCCCTTTTAATATAAGTTTTGCTTAAGAGATTAGTTCCTATTGGTCACTAATTTTATCAGTGGTACTGCTGACTAACATAAACGAAAGTGATGAATACTAACTTTTGAAATGAACTGTGTTGTACTTCTGGGGCGGAGTTGAACTTTCATAGCCAACCACATAGTGACCTTGAATAACCAACCAGAATTCAAATGCACATAGTCGCGTAACCGTTAAAAAAAATGTGTTTAACCATATTACACTGTGTAATTATTTTCTATGTGTTGTAAGAATGTCTCCCAGTTGCTCCAAGAATAATCCATAGAGAAATCATATCAAGCACGATGGATATATTATTCGAGGTGACTAGATTATAGTCTTTCGGGATCCACTAATATTTCTGACACTGTTGTCACAATGTAACCATAAAACCTACCTAACACTGTCGATTTACAGTAAAAAAAAGACCCAGGGAATAAGTGGAATACTGTACCTACCCTCAGGAAATCCATTAAGGTAAGCAGGATTTTACTCAAAATGACCTTTTGCAGCGTTCTCTAAATCTGATTGTCTCTTAAAGATCAAGTTTTTGCAAACTTTGACCTTGGCTGTGATAGTTTAACTTTACCTTTCTAAGAATTCAAACGTGAATAGGCCTGATGCTGTACACCGTAACCGTGATCTATTTAGCACATTCCATCAGTCGATAATAGGAAAAATGTAACTTGAAATCTTCTTAATTCGTAAAGGTAAACTTATTTTGTATTAGTTTACCATTACATGTATGTCCGTCTATTTGCCTGTCTGTCTATCTATCCATCTATCTAATCTATTCTTTTATGGCTGCGTGTATAGAGTACTGCAAAATAATAAGAGTCATAACAATAATAAAACAAATGAAACAGGTGTCTGTAAATTTGAAAAAAACTACACAGTCCGAAAATTAATTTACTCTAATTGATGTTTTTTGTTGCTTACTTTCTGGTTTTACAAAAACTGTAATTAAACATTTTGAAGAAATACTAGAATTAAATTATAGATTTTTCTTATTATTTCCTTCTTAATAATAAATATAGTTTTGTTTGAATCTATTCAATACTCAAAAATGTTTAACTAATACTAAATTTACATAGAATCAGATAACTATTTCAATTACTTAAGTAGAATCATAAAGGGAACTAATTGTTTCATATTCTCAAATAATCATAATTGTGTTGTCTGCTGTTTTAAAATTTTATTTAATATAAAAGATAGCATTATACTCCTATTGCCATTTGTTAGCTGATTCTCTGAGTATTTCGGACAGCTGAGTGATTATTTTTATTGAATTTTTTGAGATTTTCC